GCCCCTTAAGGACAAGTTAAAGGTAGTCATTAAAAAAAAAAAAAAGATAAGAAGGCAGGGTGACAGCATTGAAGTAAGGCACCTGCCTAACATGTGGCCAACCTGGGTTCGATCCCCGGCATCCCGTAGGGTCCCCCAAGCACCGCCTGGAGTGATTCCTGAGTGCAGAGCCTGGAGTCAGCCCTGAGCATCACTGGATGTGACTCCAAAACACACACACACACACACACACACACACACACACGGGGGGGGGGGGGGGGGGCAATGAACCATTCCCCATGGTAGGAAAGATGTGGAAGGCAGAGGAAGAGATCAGAGAAAGGCAGGAAATGAATGAATAACGGGAAGAGAGATGGAAACAGAGAAAAGATATTGGGATGTGGGCGGGGGTCTGTTCTATGGGGAGGGGCTTGGGAAATAAACAGGAAGGGGGTTCAGGCAGGGTTCTCTGGCATGTGATGTGGTGTCCAGACCGTTCCCTCAAGAGCTTATTGGGGGGGCTGGAGCGATAGCACAGCGGGGAGGGCATTTGCCTTGCACGTGGTTGACCCGGGTTCGATCCCCGACATCCCATAGGGTCCCTGGGGCATCGCCAGGAGTGATTCCTGAGTGCAGAGCCGGGAGTCAGCCCTGGCCATTGCAGGGAAGGACCCAAAAAAAAAAAAAGAAAAAGAAAAAAAGAGAGTTTATTGGAGCCCAACAAAGACGAGTTTCAAGCCCTCACACCCGCTTTCTTTCTGGTTTGGGCCCTGGGCTTACCCCTGGTGGGACCCAGAAACCCCCGTGTAGTTCTGGAGGTCTACCCGAATGGATAGTACGGAAGGCACATGTGGGAAACCCTGTCCTCTCTCTGGCTTTGATCCTTGTTTAGTTGTTGTTTTTTATTGGGGGGTCACACCCAGCAATGCACAGGGGTTGCTCCTGGCTTTGCACTCAGAATTACTCCCGGTGGTGTTCAGGGGACCATATGGGATGCCGGGATTCGAACCCGGGTTGGCCTTGTGTAAGGCAAACACCCTGTGCTATCACTCCAGCCCCTAGTTGTTGTTGTTTTTAAGCACACCCAGCAGGGACTAGGTTTCGATTCCCAGCAATGCTCAGGGCTGACTCTTGGCTTTGCACTCAGGGATCTTTCCTGGCGGTGCTCAGGGGACCCTATGGGATGCCGGGAATCAAACCCGGGTTGGCTGCGTGCAAGGCAAACACCCTCCCTGCTGTGCTATCGCTCCAGCCCCAAATCCATGTGATTCTGTGTATGTGGGTGAGAGATCTTGGGGAGCGAGGGGGTCCCAGAAACCATGAGGGAACCAGCCGGGTGGGAGGGCGTCACCCTAGCATGACTATCTCATGATCCAGATCTTCCTGGAGAGGTCTCGGGCCTCCTGGTCCCCTCAGAGGCCACCCGCCCCCTACTGCAAACGCAGGCTGGAGCTGTGTGTCCCATGGGTGGGGGAGGGGTTGTCCTTCCCGCCCAGGTCTCCCATCCAAAGCGGAAGCTCTTTCCCGAACTGCTGGCTTCGTGGAGACCCCTGAAGGCCTCTGACTTGCTGTCCTATGCTGGGGACAGAGCCCGCCCCCCACAATTAATTACAGCCTTTCTCAGCCCTTTAGGCTCTTCCCGGGAGGGGTGAATTGCCTATGTCAGGAGTCAACCCCCAAGTGAGCCTCAGCCTTCTTGGCGATGGCCCGAGGTCACTACCAGGTCCCCATGGATCCTTCCAGCACTCCCCCAAACACTGTCCTCCAGGCTGGCCCAGAGGAAGCTCCCGAGGGTGCCCAGTGCTGGACTATTCCCTGATGTGCCTCCAGCCAGGCCCCAGGCCCCAGCCCCCTTTCCCAACTGTAAATAGAAGAAAAGAAGAAAAAAGACTTGAGGTTCCCGACTGGGTGCATTCCAGAGAAATGAGAAGGTGAGACGGGGTGGGAGGAGGGGGGAGATTTGAGACTCCTGCACTTCTAGGGAGACTCCACCCTGCTGCCCCCGACTCAGTGCTCAGGGCTGACTCCTGGCTCTGTGCTCGGGGCTCCCTCCAGATCTGTGCTCAGGGCTGACTCCTGGCTCTGTCCTCGGGGCTGACTCCCAGCTCTGTGCTTGACTCCGGCTCTTAGCATCTTGCAATGCTGAGTCCCGGGGACTTTCCAGGAGTGATTCTTGAGCACAGTGCTAGGAGTAGTTCCTGGCCTTAAAAACAGAGGGGCTGGAGATATAGCACAGCGGGTAGGGCGTTTGCCTTGCACGCAGCCGACCCGGGTTCGATTCCCAGCATCCCATATAGTCCCCTGAGCACTGCCAGGGATAATTCCTGAGTGCAGACCAGGAGTAACCCCTGTGCATCGCCGGGTGTGACCCAAAAGGGAAAAAAAAATAGAACTCACACAAAAACAAAACAATTTAAAAAAATAAATAAAATAAAAACTATAAACCACTCCCCCCCACACACACAAAGAAAACAGAGTTTTGATTGGGAGATAATATTCTTTATTGATTCTTTTATTTATTTATTTTTGTTTCTTTGGCCCCACCTGGTGATGCTCAGGGCTGACTCCTGGCTCTGCACCCAGGATTCACTCCTGGCGGTGCTCGGGGGACCCTGTGGGATCAAACCTAGGTCAGCCTAGGAGTCCGTTGTGCTGTCTCTCAAGCCCTGTGCAATGCATTTTATTTTATTTTTTTGCTTTTTGGGTCCCACCCGGCGATGCTCTGGGCTGACTCCTGGCTCTGCACTCAGGGATCACTCCTGGTGGTGCTCGGGGGATCGAACCCATAGGATGCTGGGGATCGAACCCGGGTCAGCCGTGTGCAAGGCAAATGCCTTATCTGCTGTGCTATTGCTCCAGAAACATGTTGTTGTTGTTGTTTTGGGAGGGAGGACACACGTGGTTCAGGGTTGTTTCCTAGCTCTGTGTTCAGGAATCACTCCTGGCCGGCTGAGGACACCAAAGGAAAACCCAGGTCATCTGCCTGCAAGGCAAGCACTTTCCTCGCTGAATAATCACTCTGGCCCCAACATGGGTTGTTATTTTCTTGGTGGGGGGGTGGTGGGAGACACCTGACAATGCTTAGGGCTGACTCCTGGCTCAGTGCTCGGGGCTGACCCCCGGCTCTGTGCTCGGGGCTGACCCTCGGCTCTGTGCTCAGGGCTCACTCCTGTTCTGTGCTCAGGGCTGACTGACTCCCGGCTCTGTGCTCAGGGCTCACTCCGGCTCTGTGCTCAGGGCTGACTCCCGGCTCTGTGCTCAGGAATGACTCCTCATTCTGTGCTCAGGGCTGACTCCCGGCTGTGACTGGGGACCATGCAAGGCAGGAGGGATGGAGCCCCAGGTGGCTGTCAGCAAGTGCCCTGCCACTTGAGTGTTCGGTTCCGGTTAAATCTTCACCCCCCAGGAGGCGCCTCGGGCTCGTCCTGCCTCAGGACCACCCCGGGGATGCTCAGGGGATGCCGAGGATGCCCGCGCGCGCGCCAGGCCCACTCGGGCCGGACCTGGCCGCAGCCTTGGGCGGACCCGGAGAGCGCGGCGGGAGCGCGGAGGGGCCGGCCCGGCTGCAGGGCGCGCGGCCGCCGCTGGGGGCGCGCGCGGGCCGGGCGGGCGGGCGGGGGTCGCTTTGTGCCGCAGCGGGAGCGCGGGGGGCGTCACGCCGCATCACACTGGCCGGGGGGCTGCCCGGCCCGGCCCGCGCCCGCCGCCGGACCCGCATGGCCTCCGCACACACCAGGTGCCCCCGCGGGGTCCAGGCACGCGGGGCCGCGGGGGGGAGGGGCGCCGAACCGGACCGAACCCGAACCCCCCACCCACCCGCCCCCGCCGGCACCCCCGGGCTGCCGGACCCTCCGCCCGCGACCCCTCCCCAGAATGCAAAAATGCAAAACCGCGCGCGCCCCCTCCCCGGGCAGCCTGGGGGGGACCCGCGCGCCCCCCGACCCCCGAGATCGCCTCCGGACCCCCGAGATCGCCCCAGCGCGCCCCCCGACCCCCTAGATCGCCCCTTGACCCCCTAGATCGTCCCCCGACCCCCTAGATCGCCCCTCGACCCCCTAGATCGCCCCCCGACCCCCTAGATCGCCCCCCGACCCCCGAGATCGCTTACCGACCCCCGAGATCGCCCCAGCGCGCCCCCCGACTCCCTAGATCGCCCCCCGACCCCCGAGATCGCTTCCCGACCCCCGAGATCGCCCCAGCGCGCCCCCCGACCCCCTAGATCGCCCCCCGACCCCCTAGATCGTCCCCTGACCCCCTAGATCGCCCCCCGACCCCCTAGATCGCCCCTCGACCCCCTAGATCGCCCCTCGACCCCCTAGATCGCCCCCGACTCCCTAGATCGCCCCCCGACCCCCGAGATCGCTTCCCGACCCTCTAGATCGCCCCAGCGCGCCCCCCGACTCCCTAGATCGCCCCCCGACCCCCTAGATCGTCCCAGCACGCCCCCAACCCCCCAAAACGCCTCCGACCCCCCCAGCCCGCCCCCCGACTCCGCAGCGCGCCCCCTGACCCCCAGCGCAGCCCCCCGGCCCCCCAATGCAACCCCCTTACCCCGCAGCGCGCCCCCGCCCCCGACCCCCGCCCGTTCGTCCCGGGGAGGAACGTCCGCGGGGAACGCGGCGCCGCCCGGGTTCGCGAAGGTTCCAGGGCCCGGGGGTCGCGCAGCCCCCAGACCCGCGGGGCTGCGCGCGCGGACGGGCCGGGGCGGCTCCGGGGGTCGCGGGCGGGGAAGACCGGGGGGGGGGGGGGCCCCGCCGGTCACCATGGCAACGCGACCCCGCCGGCGTCGCCATGGCAGCCGCGCGCCCGCCCGCCCGGGGGCCCGCCGGGGGTCGCGGCGCGGCGGGCGGGGCGTCCCGGGCCGGAACGCGGCGCGCGGGGCGGCGTTTCCGGGCCGGGCCGCCGGGGACGCGCCGGCCGTCGGGGCCCCCCCCAGCCCGCCCGGCCGGGGCCCCGCGGGCCGGAAGTGGCGCGCGCGCGCGGCGCGGAAGTCTCGCGAGAGCGGCGTCCACTTCCGTCCTCCGCGGCGCCCGGCGCCGTCCCCCGCCCCCCGCCCCTCCCGGTCGGCGCGTCCCTGCGCCCCGCGGGCCGGAGCCGCAGCCGAGCGCCCCCCGCGCCCCCCGCATGGCGCCCCCCGGCCCGGGAGCCTGACGGACCCGCCGGCCTCGCGGGGCGCGCGGCGATGAGACTGCGGGGCGCGCAGAGCCTGCGGTGAGCCGGGCGGGGGGCGCGCGCGGGGGCGGGGGCGCGCGGGGCGGGGGGCGCGGGGCCCCGGACCCTCCTGCTGCGCGCGGGGCGCCCTGGGGGCGGCGGCCGGGGGCGGGGGGCGCGCGACCCCAGACCCCCGCGCTGCACGTGGGGCGCCCTGCAGGCCGCGGGGGTGGGGGTCGTGCGCCCCCGGACCCCTCTCGAGGTGCACGCGGGGGTCCCTGCGGGTCTCGGAGGCGGGGGTCGTGCGCCCCCAGACCCTCTCCTGGTGCGCGCGGGGTCCCTGCGGGTCTCGGAGGCGAGGGTCGTGCGCCCCCAGACCGTTTTCTGCATGTGGGGGTCCCTGCAGGTCTTGGAGGCGGGGTCGTGCGTCCCTAGAACCTGCTCCTGCTGCATTGGGGCTCCCAGCAGGGTGTCGGGGCGGGGGTCGTGCGCCCCCAGACCCTCTCCTGGTGCGCGCGGGGTCCCTGCGGGTCTCGGAGGCGAGGGTCGTGCGTCCCCAGACCCTCTCCCGGTGCACGCGGGGTCCCTGCGGGTCTCGGAGGCGAGGGTCGTGCGCCCCCGACCCTCTCCTGGTGCACGCGGGGTCCCTGCGGGTCTCAGAGGCGAGGGTCGTGCGCCCCCAGACCCTCTTCTGCATGTGGGGGTCCCTGCAGGCCTTGGAGGCGGGGTCGTGCGCCCCGACCCTCTCCTGCTGCACGCGGGGGTCCCTCACCTTCGCAGAGGGCGCGAGTGCGTCCCCCTCCTGCAGGCATTGCCGAGGTGGGGGTGCAGGCACGTGCCCGGCTGCGGGAGGAGACCCCCAGAGTCCTGGCGCCCAGTGAGGGGGGTGTGGCCTGTACCTGTGCTCAAGGTCGCAGTGGGTGCCAGTGGGCTCTGGACACCCGGGAACCAGGCAGAGGCTGGCCCGGGGCCGTGACTGCTGACCGTGGGGGCTTGCAGGCCCTGGGCCCCCAGAGAACCCCGGGCAGCAGCTGCGGCCGGGGGACAGGGGGCACTCCGAGGGCAGGGACCAGGAGGTGGCAGCTTGGTGGCCGGCAGAGCAGCGCCCATGACCGTCCGGGGAGGTGGGACCCGGCCAGGGGTGAGTGGACACCCAGGAGCATCTCGGCCAGACTGCTGAGTGGCCCTGGAGTCCCGCCCGGGTCCGAGGTGCCCGGGTGGCACCTGCTGTCAGGTGCGGTCCTTGTGGGCGTGGGGGATGCAGCCTGGGTCTGTGTGTGCGCCGGGGGTGGCGGGGGGGATACGACACTGTCCACGGACGGCCCCGTCTTGTCCTCTGTCCGCGGGCTCAGAGCTCGGGTGCGGGGACCCGGTGACTCTGAGGCCACTTGGCTGGGCAGGGGAGGGAGGAGTGGGGACCAGCCCAGGGGGGCCCACCCAGGTGGGCTGTGGGGAGGCGGCGTACTCGAGAGATCTCGCTCTCTGTCTCTCTGTCTCTGTCCCCCTCTCCCCCTTCTTCTCCATCTCTCCCTCCCTCCCTCCCTCTCTCTCTTTCTCTGTGTCTCTCTCCCTCTGTCTCTGTCTCTCTGCATCGGGGGCTTTCACAGACAGCTCAGAGGATGCTGGCTGGTCCCCGGGTCCGTGTGGTCACTCTGGGTGATGCCGCGAGACTCTCAAACCCAGCCACGGTGGGTGGCCGGCTCTGCCCAGCTCTACAGGACCCTGAGGCGGGGGCTTAGGGCTCGCCCCCCTCCACCCCTGCCAGGCGTCCGTCCGTCCGTCCGTCCGTCCGTCCGTCCGTCCGTCCGTCCGTCCGTCCGTCGCTTTCGCTGTTTCCGTCCGTCCGTCCGTCCGTCCGTCCGTCCGTCCGTCCGTCCGTCCGTCCGTCCGTCCGTCCGTCGCTTTCGCTGTTTCCCCGAAGCTTATGTTTTCTGTTAGGCCGAACTCGGGTCGGCGGAGAGGGGCGGGGCCATCGAACTCGGGTCGGAGAGGGGCGGGGCCATCGAACTCGGGTCGGCCACGTCCGAGAGGGGCGGAGCCACGTCCGAGAGGGGCGGAGCCACGTCCGAGAGGGGCCGAGCAATCGAACTCCGCTCGGCCCTGTTGGCTGCGTGCGAGGCAAACGCCCTGCAGCTGTGCTATCGCTCCAGCCCGCCGAAGATTCTGTTTTCTGTTAGGCCGAACTCGGGTCGGGTCGGAGAGGGGCGGGGCCATCGAACTCGGGTCGGAGAGGGGCGGGGCCACCGAACTCGGGTCGGAGAGGGGCGGGGCCATCGAACTCGGGTCGGCCACGTCCGAGAGGGGCGGAGCCACGTCCGAGAGGGGCCGAGCAATCGAACTCGGCTCGGCCCTGTTGGCTGCGTGCGAGGCAAACGCCCTGCAGCTGTGCTATCGCTCCAGCCCTAAGAAGTGAGTTTTACTCCCTAAGAGTTCTTTTCTTCCCAAAGGGGGAAAAAGAACTGTATCGGGGGAGTCAGTATTTGCTCCTCTAAAGGACATGGATTCAGAGACCCTTCCCTGCAGGCTCTCACCCGCCACCCACTGTGGGGCGACCTAAGGCTCGGCCCCTGGGTGCAGGATTCTGGCTCTGCTCAGAACCTCTCTCCAGGCACTTCCAGCTCACCTCTTGGTTCACCTGGGCCTGAGGGCTATTTCAGTTCTAATGGGCTTCCTGTGTGTCGCGACGTAATACTTGGGACAGAGTAATACTTGGGACAGACGGTGATCAGAAAGGTCAGTGGGATTGTCCTAAAAACGGCCTGAAGCCCCAATGCAGTCGTGTGTATGGATGGATTTGTGTAGGTTGATTCAATATCTGAATACTCCTCTGATTTTTTTTCTCCTACCTAGAAATGGTGCATGAATGTCTCTTAAAAGATCTCACTTAACTGAAATCTTCCATTCTTGTCTTCTCTGTCAGAAAACCCTCCTATGACACAGAGACAGACCCGAGCGAGGGCCTGATGCATGTCCTGAAGAAAATCTATGAAGACGGAGATGACGACATGAAGCGAACCATCAATAAGGCCTGGGTGGAGTCGAGAGAGAAGCAAGCCAAAGGGGACACAGAGTTTTGAGGCTTCGGGTCCGAGTTGGGGGGCTCTGGCACCGCGGTATATGTATTGCCGGTGAGGAGATGGTGCAGAACCGCACCAGTATGTTCGCCAACGGCTCACAGCCTGTTCTTAACTACTCAAGAGTTTATTTAAGTAATAAGCTTATTGAAAACTTCCTACAAAGATGGTTTCCATAGTCCCCAGTTTTGTTCAAGAAAAGATAATACTGCATTCTTGTGGGAAATGTAAATAAATAAGTCTTACCTAAGGAAAAGGCCACGCTATGTGTGTTTTTATTTAAGTTAGCAAGTTGCTCTTTCTTTACACGTTCCCAGTGTAAGAGAAAAATAAAACCTGAATTCCTGCATAAAATGAGATGGGTGTTGTAGAGCAGGGTGGGTCTGTTAGCCGCTTAAATAACATACCCAGCCCTCAGTTAATCCACAAGCATTTCTTTCTCCATGAGTAGGTGAATACATTGAAAATTTTGTCTTTGTACATGGCTAGGACATTGTCAGAAATCCAAGGCCTCCAAGAACCATAACGCAAAAATAAGCATGAAATTATGTGATTCTACGTTCATAAAATTTTAATTTTACGGTCAGTGAAATAGCTTGCCATGTGGGGAGGCATTGGAGAGGGAATGGTTCTGAATGGGTGAGTGGTGAGTGACCTCGACTCTTGGCTACTAGCGGCGATGCTCAGGCATCCTACGAGAGGGAACTAAGTTCCTGCTCTACCAAAGACCGTGCAGGATTGTGGAAGCTCCATTGGAGAACCCAGTGGGCAGTTCCTGAGGTAGGTGGAACACAGTGCAGACCTTGGTCCCTTTTCCAGCCTCCAAGGCCTGTCAGGAGAGACACCAGCCACACTGACGGTCGCTCACAGCCCACATTCGAATCTTTCCAGAAGTGGGACTGAAAATCCTTTAACAACAGGAAAACCAGCCATGCCACTCCAAATGCCATGTTTTAGGGGAATGGGTTAGTCACACTCTGAGGCTTGGGAGTTCCTCCTGGTTCTGCACTCAGGAATTACTCCTGGCGGTGCTCAGGACACCTTATGGGATACAGGGATCGAACCCGGGCATTGCCTCCTTATTTCAAAGATCTGTCACCAGTGTTGTTCCTCGCTAGATTTAGGACCTCAAGAACAGAAACAAGAACAGGACGTTCTCTGTAACTGTCCCATCTAGCATTGCCACCCGAGTCTGCAAGAGAAGGCCGTGTTCACAGAAAAGTCACAACCAAAGCTAGTTGGTAAAGATCCACTAAGGACTAAGGTATGCGGACCCTGCGCCACGATACAGAGGAACATTTTTAATGAATCATCTCAGTAAAGGGTTTAAGTCTTGTCCTTTCCCACCCACAGCAGCGCATGTGGGCCCCACAAAAATCCAAGAGCTATATTTAGTGTTTTGGGGTCCACATCCGGTAGTATTCAAAGATCACTCAGGCAGCGCTCAGTGGACCTTAGGGGTTCGGGATAGGTCTTGCCCACAACACCTTGGCCCAGCCTGCATTTCTTGGTTTGTTTTTGGCTTTTGGGGCCACACCCAGTGACGACACGGGTTCCTCCTGGCTCTGCTCTCAGGAATCACTCGTGGGGTTCAGGGGACCGTATAAGATACTGGGGACCAAACCTGGGTCCACCATGTACAAGGCAAATGTCCTCCCCACTGTCCTATTGCTGTGGCACCCCTGCCTGCGGTTTTGAGTGGCTGTTGGGTTGACAGAGCGGCTGCAGGAACTGCAGCCAAGCCAGGGGTGGTGCCAGTTGTTGGGAGGGAAATCCCGTCCGGCCCCTCAGGCTGGGTGCTGTCCTCAGGACCCCGGCTGAGGGCATCACAGCTGTGCTGACAGAGACAGGGCCTAGATGCCGGGGACCAGGCCTGGGAGGAGAGAGGGGAGACAGCTCTGACGTGCTCGCTCTGTGCACCAGAGACTGAGGAAGAGAAAATACCTCAAAAGCACAAAGCAAATGCTCAAGAAAGTTGGATCGCAATGAGAAACCATTAGGAAGTCAAACAAGGAATCTAGTAGGCAAAGATTTAAAAATAACGGGGAGGGGGGTGTGTGCCTCATGATTTGCATGTGGCCCCACCCAGGTTTGATCCCCCGCATCCCATAGTGTCCCCCAAACCAAAACAAAATAGACCCCAAAAGCAACTTCTGTCAGCTAGAGAGAGAACAGGACTAAAGTAAAGGCCCTCTGTGCTGCAGACCCACTATGCTCCCTGCACACCTGTCTGTCTGGCCATCCAGACCCCACTCCCAGTGCTGTGAGGTACAGCCTCTGGAGGCCTCTGGACCCCTCTGCACTCAGGGATCACTCCTGGCAGGCTCGTGGGACCATATGGGATGCTGGGGTTTGAACCCGGGCCTGGCTTGTGCAAACAAAGCACCCTCCCCACTGGACTATCTCTCCAGCCCCAGCCCACAAACTATCTTCAGAAAAAAGTCAACAAAATACAGTGAATACACAACAAAATAACAGGCATTACTGAGGTAACAGCAAACTGAGGAGTCAAAGGAATTTTGTAAGAACTACCAGCGTTAATTGTTAACTGACCAACTTTAGTTGTTAACGTAGCACAGAGTGTTGGGGACCAGTACCCAGAACTTTGGAGATGGAGTGCCCCCTCGTCTAGAAGAATTTCCCCTGGAGGAAGTGCTTCATATGTGTTTATGTCTTTTCTCCCTTATTCCCATTATTCTTCCTTATTCCCATTTACACGACAGAGCCTGGCCAGCTACCCATGGTGTATTCAATATGTCAAAAACAGTAACAATAATGGGTCTCATTCCCCTGACCCTGAAAAAGCCTCCAATTGTTAGGAAAGATGAGTAAGGAGAGGCTGCTAAAATCTCAGGACTGGGATGCACAGAGACGTTACTGGTGCCCACTTGAGTAAATCAATGAACAACAGGATAACTAGCTTTTTGGGTCACACCCAGCGATGCTCAGGGATTCCTTCTGGCTCTGCACTCAGGAATTACTCCTGGTGGTGCTCAGGGGACTCAGTGATATGCCAGGGATCAAACCCAGGTCAGACACATGCCAGGCAAACGCCTTCCCCACTGTGCAATAGTCCCTCAGCCTCTTTATTTTATGTTTTCTTTTTGGGTCACATCCTGCAATGCACAGGAATTCCTCCTGGCTCTGCACTGAATTACTCCTGGCAGTGCTCGGGGGACCCTCTGGGATGCTGGGAATCGAACCTTGGTCGGCCGCGTGCAAGGCAAACACCCTCCCCGCTGTGCTATTACTCCAGCCCCTTCAGCCTCTTTTCTTAATCCCCGTGGTGCTTTGCTTCAGGCCTGTTCACCCGGGGCTGGTCCCAGGCAGCTGATGCCCAAATAGGGACCCAGAGAAGTAGGAAGTGTCTGGCACCGACAATAATCAGAAGAACCACGACAGACAAACTGACAAACTGTGAGGACCCAGAAGTGAAGGAGAGGGCCCTGCTGAGACCAGGAGCGAGCAGAGCTCCAAGGGTGAGTGTTCTGGGGGTTTGTGAATCAGGGCTATAAAGGGACAAAGTACTTCCACAGAGGGGTGAACACAGAACTCTTTAATGTATGTGCTAGGCCAATACCCGCTATACTATCGCTCCAGCCCCAATTTAAAGGTTTTTAAAATCATATGCCTCTAGGTCGTATTCGATATGCCAAACACAATAACAATTGTCACAATGGAGACGTTACTGGGCCCACTCGAGCAAATTGATGAACAACGGGAGGACAGTGGCAGTGACAGTGATGCCTCTAGGTTATTTCTCTTGCTGACTAGATTTATAGTAGAGGTAACATGGGCATATATATTGAATAAACTGAAGGAAAGAAGTTGCAAGCTTCCCTGCGAGCTCTTAAGATAAGGTCTGTTTGGGAGCTGGAGTAATAGTACAGCGGGGAGGGTGTTGGCCTGGCATGCAGCCGACCTGGGTTCGATCCCCAGCATTCCATGTGGTCCCCTGAGCATTGAGTATCACCAGGAGAAATTCCTGAGTGCAGAGCCAAGAGTCAGCCCTGAGCATCGCTGGGTGTGACCCAAAAAGCAAGAATAAATAAATAAAAATAAATAAATAAATAAATAAATAAATATCAGATCTATTTTATTTGGTCTGGAGCGATAGCACAGCGGTTGGGCATTTGACTTGCACGTGGCCGGCCCGGCCGACCTGAGTTCGATTCCTCCGCCCCTCTCGGAGAGCCCGGCCAGCTACCGAGAGTATCTCACCCGCACAGCAGAGCCTGGCAAGCTTCCCGTGAGGTCTTTGAGATGCCAAACACAGTAACAACAAGTCTCATGATGGAGACGTTACTGGGCCCGCTCGAGCAAATCGATGAACAACGGGAGGATAGTGCTACAGTGCTGTTTTATTTACCAACAATGACCCGAAATCAAATTAAATTGAAAATGCTTAGATCATTGTTAGAAAATTCAGTATTTCTGGTAAACACATCAGGGTTAAACTAAACTCCAGGGGAGAATGTGGTCCTAGACAGACAAAACAGAGCGGGGAGGGAACATACGACCCTCTTATTTTTTCCCCATTTCCTCTATTTTTTTCCATTGTGTGCACAAAAAAACGCTTGGAGGCTTCTCGCTCCTGGGGCTGGTGAGAAGTGAGGTGGGTGGGCACTCGCCTTTCGAGACTACTTCCAGGTTTGGTCCCTGACACCGTGTAGGTCCCCAGATTCCCGAGAGGAGCGATCTGAGTTCAAAACCACCCTCCCCCAAATTCAGGGTCAAGTAAACCCATCAAAAAAAGGAATTTTCAAGAGCATTTGCAAGCAATTTTCACTTTTTATTTTTGGGTAGTGATGGTGGGGAGGGGGGCAGGAGCGATAGCACAGCAGGTAGGGCGTTTGCCTTGCATGCAGCTGAACCAGGTTTGAGTCCTCCATCCCTCTTGGAGAGCCTGGCAAGCTACCAAGAGTATCCCGCCCACACGGCAGAGCCTGGCAAGCTTCCCGTGGCATATTCGATATGCTAAAAACAGTAATAAATCTCACAATGGAGCTGTTACTGGTGCCCACTTGAGCAAATCGACGAATAGTGGGAGGACAGTGCTACAGTGCTATATAATTTATAAAATATAAATTTTATAATTTATATCGCTGGAGCGATAGCACAGCGGTAGGGCGTTTGCCTTGCATGCAGCCAACATGGCCGACCCGAGTTCGATTCCTCCACCCCTCTCGGAGAGCCCGGCAAGCTACCGAGAGTATCTCGCCCGCACGGCAGAGCCTGGCAAGCTCCCTGTGCCGTATTCG